GCCTTCAGAGCTCGCTAAAGTCGAGAAATTCGTGGCCGGTCTGAACTATGAGGCGCGAAAAGCCTTGACTATGAGTAGCCCGAGCTCTCTTAAGGACGCATACGTGTGTGCCGCCGATCTGTATCGCGTGCAGCAGCTTCAGAGAGGATCGTTCGAGCAAGCTAGGAAGAGGACCGAGGGCGGAGGTTCTTCTACCTTTAAGAAGCCAAGACCCGGTTTCCAGGCCAAGATCGTATCATCTTCTTCTCAAGGACCTATCAGAGTGGAGCATCGGGATCATGCTAAGTCGATTGTTTGCTGTAGATGTGGAAAGGTGCACGCGGGCCAAGATTGTCATGGCCAGGTGTTTAGGTGTTTCCGATGCGGGGATCGTGGTCACAAAGTCGCGGAGTGTCCCCAGCTTGCCAGTCAGAGAGCGTTGCCGCCACCCCCGGGAGTCGGAGGAGATTCGGGAGGGAGTTCGGGTCGCGGGGCAGTCGGAGCTAGGCCACCTTGAAGGATCTTTGTGATGGCACGTTCACAGGCTGAGTCGGGGGGCTTGATGGAGGATGAGTTGGCTGGTAACCCCTTTCCTCTAGCCTATCCTTGTTTTTCTGTGATCATAGTGTTCGTTGTTGCCTTGAGTGTTATCTTGTGTTTCGTAGTTGTCTTTCCTTGGCAATCCTTGGCATGTTTTTCCTTGATAGCAATTCTTTTGGAGCTTAGTGTAAACTCTTCTTGCTAAGTGATTTCTTTAGTTTGGTATATAAGCTTCGTTGTGAAGTTAGCAATCCATCCTTGTAATGTTTTGTGATTTGGGCCAATTCTACAATCCTTATACTTGGTTGTTCTTACAACAATTCCTTGTGAGCTCCCTAAATTTTCCATGTATTCTTTGAATTTGGAAATAGCAAAATTCATACCAAAAACATTTCCTTGTGTAGCTTAAAAACCAAGCCTAATGTTTAAATTATAACCTTTAAGTTTCAAACCCAAGCCTATTCTTTGTCAACCCAACCTCTAACCTACTTGAGCCAATTGTCTTTCTTGGAACCTATCCAATTTTAATCCCATCTAAACCACAAATTCCAACTTTACCCAAAATCCCCAAATTAAATCATCTTTTTCCCCAATTTCTCCCAAATCCCTAAAATCCCACATTCTCTTTTCTTCTTCTCTTCTCTACCCGTGAGATCACCTAAACCCCACCCCCAACCCGTAGCTTCACCGCCACCACCACCAGCCCGTCGCCCCACCGTCGCCGAGCCACCGCCACGCCGCCGTCGCAGCAGCCGGAGCTCCGCCGTGCCGCGCCGACCTGCTGTCGCCGAGAGAGCCGATCGAGAGAAAGAGTGAGCTCGAGAGAGAGAGAGGGGCAGCGAGTGTAAGGAGGAAGAAGAGGAGGTTGTGGGCTTTGTTTGTTGAGCTTTGGGTCATCTCTTGCCATGCCTAGAAGATCAAGTTTGGCTAGGAAAGCGGAATGGGTGGATGCCCACTACCTTGTTCTTGAAGGTAAAGCTTTTGACCCAGAATCTTTTCCTAGTGCCTTGTTGGATATGCTTAGATTCCAAGATTTTTGGATGGGTTTCTCGCCATAAGGGCCGAGACTTACCCGAGTCTGGTTAAAGAGTTTCATCGTCACATGGTTGTGACAAGGGAAGGAGATAAGCTTGAGATCACTTCTAAAGTGAGAGGTGTAAAGTTGGTGCTTTCTGAGAAGAGGCTGGCTCAGCTTTTGAGTTTGTCTGCTACCGGAATGGCTCAGTACAGTGGTCATGCTTGGATTAGTATGGATACCATGGGGTACCGTGACTACTTGAGCTTTTTGTTGGGCCGTACGAGTGGTTCCACTCAAGCGTCAAGGCCGGAGAAGAAGTGGTTGTCTGCAGAGCAAAGGATTTTGGTAATGTTGGTATCGGATTGTTTGTTGCCTAATAACAACAAAAGCAGTTTGTTGGGAAAGTTGGAGTGCACCTTTTGCCTTTTGTCTCAAGAATATGGTTAAGTTCAACTTGCCAGCTTTAATGTTGCAACACATGATGTTTTGCCGGGATCACAATCGGAAGAGCTTACCGTACGGGATGGTGTTGAGTTGGATCTTGGTTAGGAAGGGTGTCAGTGTGGATGGTTGTCTCCCGAAGGCTGTGGGAAAGATGGTGTTGGATGCCACCAACCTTCGGAGTTGTAATCTGTTTCAGATGGATGATGGTGAGTACATCACGATGGAGGAAGTTGCAAGGAAAGCACCCGAAGAAAGGGCCGAGTTGGCAGCTGAGCTTGGCATTCATGCCGGGAAGTTGAGCCTCGCCGTTCAGAGTTTGGGAGGTGATGAGGAAGCCGAGGATGAAGCTGATCGTGAGGATGTGGTGGGAGCACCGGAAGCTGCCGAAGCTGAAGAAAGTGATTCGGATAGTGAAGAGAACCGACGAAGAAGGGAAGCTCGCACGAAGAGAGAGCATGATGCCATGGCACACGAGGAGCGCGTTATCGCCTTCCTTCGCCAGCAGAACCGCTTGATCGAGGAGGGTTTCACCTTTATGAAGACACAGTTCGTTGCCGTGCATCAGAGGCTAGACCAGGTTGAGGCCAGTTCGAGCCGCAGAGACGAAGATGAGGAGGAGTCTGAGGAGGGCGAGGAGACGGAGAGTGAGGAGTTCTAGCTAGTGTTGTGGTAATCCCGTTTGCCTTTTCCTTATTGTTTCCTTTTAGCCATTGTTAGCTTGGTGGTAGTTTGTTGCCTTCCTTGTGTGTTTGCTTGCTTTGCTTGTTGCCTTGTTGTTAGCTAGCTTAGTAGTTGGTGTTTGGAGGTGGTTGTCTAGTTCTTGGTTGTTGTCTAGAAGTCGGTGTTGGTGTTAAATCTAGAGTTCGTGATGCTCAATTCAACCCTTTGTAAACTCTTGCCAATTTTTGATTTGATATAAGCCTTCCCTCTTGTTTGGAATTCTTGTGAAACCTTTTGAGTTTTGACCAAAAAGAGCTTATTATTGAACCTCCTGTCACAATGTTGTTCTTATCACCGTTTGTTTTAATTCGTCGTACCCAAGCTTCGGGGACAAAGCTTCTTTGAAGGGGGAGAGGATGTGACACCCCAAAAATCCAAATTCAATTCATGGATTAATTGAGTAATTAATCCTATTTCAATTGAGGAATTAATTTCTAAAATCCTGAAATTTAATAGTTGGGGACTAGTATTTGACTAGTCAACTCCAAAGTCAAGTTGTACCTTGAGCTTTGAAGGGAGTTCCCTTGTTTCTTACACTTTCGAAAGTTAGTAAGGGTATTCTTGACCTTTCATCAAGTGTTAGTATTGTAATCTAACCTAGAAGACATCTTCATTTCACCCCTTACACTTTCTAAAATATTAGCTCTACCTTCTCTCTAGAAAGGTGAGTAGCTTTTCCTTCAAGCTAAGTTGAGACCTTGCCAAGACTTCAAGATTTGCTTCCAAGATTCAACCTTTCACCTATTTGGGCATCTAGGAGGGTAAGATCTAAGTCCATCTTGTGTTTTTGGTTCCATCTTAGATGTCTTTTTCTTAAAAGTAGGATCTTTATGATCTTTTGGTTTGTTCTTGAAGTGGGTTTGGAAAGTGAGCCTTGTGGAGAGCTTGTTGAGGTGTAAAGTGAAGTCTTTTAGTCTACAAGAGGTAACCCATGCTCTACAAAACCTATTTTACTTACCTATATGTGATTTCTTGGATTCTACTTGTGATTTTGCTATGAAATGTGAGTGTTTATGCATTGTCTTGTGAAAATGCATATCTAGAGCTTGTGTTTAGGGTTCATTTGTGCCATTGCTTGGCATTTCCTTTGATTCAAGTCATTTTGTTGCATTGGGTGAGATTTGGCATGTTTTGGACTTGAATTTGAGCTTGGAGTTGAAAATCCCCGAAGGGATTATTTTTGGACACAGGGATGTACCCGCGGGCGCAACGACGGGCAGAGCCCTACCCGCCGCCCACCCGCAGGTACATGGCCTCGTGGGTAGTGTACCCGTGGGTCCACCTGCAGGGAACACAGTGGTGTTGAGATGGGATTTGTTCCTCGTGATTCTTTTGACTCGGTATTTGGTATTTTGACTTCCCGATGTTCTTTTGTGGAACTATTTGAGTGTCTTCTTGTGTTTCGTATGTCTAGAACTATATGGTAGGTATCCATGTAGGACTTTGGTGTCTTGAATCGTCCTAAGTGCTCAACATTGTGTTTCGTTGAACCGTGATGTGTCATGTGTGTTCCTCGGAACTGTCTTTGGTTTCCCCGTTGATAAGCATGCTAGTTTGGTGTCTAAATGCTAGCATGTGTGTTGTTTGTACCTTCCGATAGGTTGATGATAACTTGTGTTATTCATCGTTGTTGTTGTTGGATTGTGATCCATTCCTTGATTGAGTATGTTTCATACCTTCGTTGTAATCGGTTAATTGATTCCTGTTGAGGTGTGGTGTGTGTGGCTTTACCTGGATTGCACCATTAGTGGTATGGGACACTAGTCACCAAGGTATTGCAGCGGTCCTCGTGGTGGCCGTGACGTGATTATGGAGTTGTGGCCTGAGTGACGGGCCCACGTATTTCTTGGGAAGCCATGTGTTGCCGTGTGTGTGTACGGTACCTCGTGTACTATGAAATTGGTGGTCTCGTTGGTGGACGTTGGTGGGGAACGACGGTCCCCGAGGGAAAAGGTTGGACTAAGAAGTACAGGGCTCATGGAGGTAATGGTTGGAAAGAAGAAACAAGGTTGGGGGTAGCCATATTGTTGGAACAGGGCATAAGGCAGGCATACTAACTCGTGATGGGTGATGTCGCGAGGGCTATTTTAGCCGGTGTTGTGTGTTCTTCTCTTGTGACATGTGTAGTCACGGAGGCATGTGTTGCCTTGGCATGTGTTGCCGGGTGTTTGAGTCTTATCCTTTAGCGTTGTGCTTGTCGGGTTTTGATCTATTGAGTGATGATGGATCATGCCTTGACTCTTTTGTGAGTCGTGTTGTCCTTGTGGTCTTGGGATGTGGTCCCATGTTGTTTGTTGAGAGTGTTGAGTCTTATGTTGGCTTTGACTCTTGGTTTTACACTTATATATATATGTATTCCATTTCGAAAATGGTTTTGCAATTTATACCTTACTTATGTATGTTATTTCACATGTATTGGTGGGTTACCAGCATTATTCGCTGACCGGGCGTCGTCCCATGTTTATCTTTGTGATCTTTCAGGTGATGTCTAGACGAGCGCGATGTCTAGTGCCCGATAATGTAGCTCCTTTTGTTTGTCTACGGCCTGTGAGCCGGTTTAGCTTTAGACTATGAGTTTTTGGATAGTTGTATACCATGCAGATTTGTCCGTAGCGTTTATCGTGTTGATAAGCGTGGCATAACACCCCTGTTTCGGATTTTATGTTATCCAGTTACCCTTTTATCTTCCCATGTGCTAGTGTTTTGTTATGGTATCTGCATGCGTTAAGGCTTTTATTATAGCTTGTTTTGACGGGTGTTACAATCGCAGCCAGCCGTAGCCCTACACACCGCCTGATTACTCAGGTCGGTGGACTACAGCCTTCCTCGGGCTTATTGGCCCACACACCGCCTGGCGCGTCCAGGTCGGTGGGTCATAGCACACGAGGCCCATGTGGACCGCAGCCCAAGAAGTGAATCACTGACCGCAGCCAGGAGAATGAACCGCAGCTCATAAGTAACCAAACAGTGGACCGCAGCCCTATATAATATTTATATACCTGACCGATCGCAACCGGCTTGGTTAACTGTTGGGATGGTTCTCAACCTATCCAACTGCCCGTATAGCCAATTTGATTGCAACCAAATTGGGGAATCATGCATCACATAGCACATAATAGCACATTAGGAAGGGGGGGGGGGGGGCACATAAATAAGCTTACGTGTAATCATTCACATACTAAGAATAATCCTAAGGGGTTCATACGGCTTCCACCTAGGCCAACGGGTTACCGATTCAACTAGCATGCAATTCCTAGACTCTTTTATCCTACGAACGGTACTAGAAACATCAAACTAGACTCAAGCACGACAACCGGGGTCCGTTGGGACATCACGGGGAATGGGGAACATCAAACGGGGAAGCCAAAGACCCGGGGTGGGTGACAAACCAGCGGGTAGTCGGCGGGTGGCCCTCGGTGACAACTTCCGGGCAGCGGGTGCCCGGCAGGCAGATGACTGCCCGCTGCCTGGCGGTCTCACTTTGGGCAGCGGGTAGGTGGCGGGTACCCCTACCCCCACCTACCCCCCACTGACTCTTTTATCAAATACACGTCCCGGGATCCTTCGTGGAACCCGAAACCATGCTTAGACACTTTTAAACGCAATTAACGACACCACATAGGCATTTAATGGATCTAAAGCAAGAATCATATTGAACACATCCTAACACGACTTCTAGACACGAACAACACCCGAACATGCAAATTCCCACCCAAATATAAATCAAGAACATCACAATATCAATTCCCAATCCAACCTAGGGCTCTAATCCCACCCAAATCATCAAAATCATATTTTATTTTCATTATCAAGAAATCATCACATGAATATCAAGAACCTCTTTTTGACATCAAGATCATCAAGATCCCTCATAAAATCATCACATCAATCAATCAAGATTATATCACCAATATCATAAAGAAATTCATCAAGACACAAGTATATAGAGGGAGCCAAAGAAGGAGATCATAGCAAGGAAAATAGGTTTTGTTGAGACATGGGTTACCTCATTCGCTTATCCATCCAATACAACGTTAAAGGGACCTGTAAATCAAGTTCAATCTTCACTACGTAATCGAGCTAATAAAATAGTTAAGCCTCCTCCCGGTCTAAACGTATCCCACAAATCTACACTTATCATATCTTAATTATCCCTTATTAATAATAATCAATTAATCCAACTAGTCACCATCTAATAATAACCGAAAAGGATAATAACCATATCTAAACATATGATAAGGTAGGATTCAAACCCAGGTTTTTCTTTATACAAACTAGAGTCCTAACCACTATGCCAATATCACATGTCTATTCTTAAACCGTGTTGTTATCCTAATGAGCCAACATACCGCCCCATCATTATCATCTTCTTCCCGCCCAACACTGCCATCCTAATAGCAGTGTTCATGCGACGTTACTGCCTATTGAAACTATCGAATTATAAGGCGTTACCTGCTGCTACGCCCGCGGGAGGAGGAGACGAAGACCGCCACCCCGCTGCCGTGGTCGTTGGTTCGAGCTTTGCCAGAGAGGCAATCGTCACCACCACGCCGTTCGTTGCTTGCGAAGTCCGCCGTAGATCGCCATCGTTCCTCAGAGAAGGGAAGGTGTCCGAACGGCCTTGCCACCCTTGTTGCTGCCGTCACGCTTCGTTTCTTGATTACTACGGAGGGGGAGACAAAGGACGAAGATGGAGCATAGGTTGGGGGTGTAGGACGAGAGAGAGGGTGGGGGAGGGTTGTTCGCCGGTGGTTGTGCGTACGTATTCGTGTGTAAGTATTCTATATAGAGGGGATAGGTATGCGGGTATGTACCCGTATGTGTTGTATATATATATATATATATATATATATATATATATATATATATATATATATATATATATATATATATATATATATATATATATATATATATATATATATATATATATATATATATATATATATATAGGGAAGGGTTCAGGTGCGGGTATATCTTCCCGTGCGGTTGTGCGGTTAGATCTGAGCTGTTGATCAAATTTAGATCAACGACTCAAATCAATAAAAATGAAAAAAAAAAACGCGTGTCGGGAAGAAGATAACGCCTACACAGCGTCTACACAAATGATAGCGTCTACACAAATGAGTAGCGTCTACACAAATGATAGCGTCTGCACAACCTCACGCACATTAAGTACAAACCCCACACACATTAAGCACAGCCTCACGCACATTAAGCACAAACCCCACGCACTTTAAATATTAACTCACATATTTTAAGTTTCAACAACTATTTACATTAAGCACAACCTCACGCACATTAAGTACAAACCCCACACACATTAAGCACAATCTCACGCACATTAAGCACAAACCCCATGCACTTTAATATATTAACTCACAGATTTTAAGTTTCAACAACTATTGACATTAAGCACAACCTCACGCACATTAAGTACAAACCCCACACACATTAAGCACAATCTCACGCACATTAAGCACAAACCCCACGCACATTAATCACAGATCCGCTCACCTTAATTTTTACCTACATGCAAAAATTACTAAATTGCCACCGCATTTTTTTTAAAAAAAAATTTGACAATTCCGGACGTTGATTTAAGCGAGATGAATGGTCCAGATTAATACTCCTTATAGCAATAGAAGTAGTATTAGTATTGTGGGTTGGGCTAGAGAAGGATTCTAGGCCAAGTATGGAATATATGTTCATGTATATATACATTTGGGCTTAGGACTTGGGCAAGGGTCCATGGTCCATGGTGGACCATATTAATTAATTACAGGGAATCTTAACTAAGTTAAATCCTTTTTAATTATTATTAACGGGATTAATTAAATAATTAATTCGGGATTAAAGGCCGTAACACGGGGTGTTACAGTATATGATCTAAAGTGAAAAATTAAATATATAGTGACACAGATGGCATATATTGAGCATTGATGCAACAATTTTATCTGTATTTTAGTCTTATAGTGTTTTTCAATTTTATGATTTGAATCTAACAAAACAGAAAAAGTATTCTGGTGATAGCACACTTTTAAAACTTAATCAATAGTCAAAACTTTAAAGAGATGATAGTTAAATTCAAAAACTAATAGAATGCAAGAGATGTAAAACAATTTGCATTCTGTAGATAGCATATATATAGCATTGAGGATATTCTATAGGCATTGAGGACAACGATTAGGTTGCATTCTGTAGGTAGCATCAGAATACAATTTCATCTCTAGAAATAGACTTTTGTACAATAATAAAACACACATTCAAAGATGAAATTAAACACTATGCAATTAATAAAAAAGAACAGAAAGTCTCATCGTACAGTGACAATGGTGAATAAAATTAACTATCATAATTAGCTGTAGAAATAAAAGTATAGTACAGATAGGAGAGTGACACAGTTTGTATAAAAACTGCATCTAAGAAGAATGAAGCAACTTACCAGATCAGCTGTGATATGGAGGTAAATGAAACACCCTTCTCAGAATAAAGGTGTCAACTAAAAGCATTTTTCTCAATAGTTTGAAAAAAGTAACACATTGTGATTTTAAGCAGATTTTATAGTTAAATACATCTATTAGGTGTGCAAAATATGGTGTTAAGTACCGTAAAACAGAGACTCATAGCCAAAAGAGTACAATAGTTATTTACAATAATGCAACCCATTTAAACTGTTTTAGATAGCAAAATTGACAGAATAGTTTGAGTTCTGGAGTATTAGACTGAACATTAGAAACTCCAGATCTAAGCATGCAAATTAACATATATATGAAATTCTAGATGAGTGGCGTTGTTGAGCAAAACAATTGATAGAAAATTTATACCCTAAATAAAATAGATATGAAGCCCTGGATGAAGTAATTCGAAAAATAAATTAGTTCATAAACTACTCTAGGAAAACCCTAGATAAGTACAACTTTTTGGACAAAACAGATTTTAACCTCAACAATCATAGCAATACCGTAGTTTTTATATCACCCGCCTGCGAAGAATACGTTACTCGAACCCAAAAAATCAAAGACATGCTAGATCAATAAAAGAAAGTTTAATATGCTTGTGTTTTTTTTATTTATTTTTTTATTTATTTTTTTTATTTTTTTTTTGTGCAGGAATCAAGAGATGCAAGTCTAAAATGGTGTACTAATCAAGATCAAGATTTAAGGTTGAAGATTGAATCAAACTGGCAGTCAAGCTATCAATGGAAGAAGTGCAACCTAATCTTTATCCACAAAGATCTTTGCAATGTAAGACATGTGGGCATGATTCAAAAACACTGCAGAAAATGTATTCTCCAGATTGCTAAGTCTACAGACTTAGGATACCATAAGGAAATATGGAATTTCAAGTATAAGTATAAATGCTACTTACATGGCAGTTTGATTAAACACACAGAGTAAGGTACACACAATTTTTTGTAAGTATTTGATATAATATTTGATCATGCATATCAGGTAAACCATAATGTAGTATTACTGGAATCAACCAAATAAATTCATAAGGTTCAGAAATGCTTACATTTATCCAATGTCATCAACATTTTGTGTCTTTTGTTCTGTCCTCTTCTGTCATTTCTTCTTTGTTAACACTCAAGAAACATTATTTGTAGCTAAGTAATCATAAAATGAAAGAAAAATCAAAATGAAGTAAATATGACACCAAAGTAATGAACACTCAGAAAATACGAAATCATTTCTTCTGTCATTTCTTCTTTGTCAACACTCAAGAAACATTATTTGTAGATAAGTAATTATAAAAATAAAGAAAAATCAGAATGAATTAAATAACATAAACAACACTTAGAATTGAAGTAAATGAGAGACCAAATTAAAGAACACTCAGAAATTTCTACTTACATTTAACCCAAGAGATCAGACACAGTTTGAAAGTGGGCACATAAAGGCATGTCAAAACCCAAAGAGATAAGGCAAATAGGGAAGAAAGCTTACATTTAGGGTACATTACTTACAATTCACTGTCCAGACTTGCCTGATTCCCAAAGCATGGATCCTACAGCCAGTTCCTAACTTAATATAATTCTAATCTATAACTAATTGTTATTTTCTTAAATGGAATATAATCTCTAATTTGGAAAATGTTTTCAGGACTTCTTCAAAGAGGATGATAACGAGGCTGAAAGTCCTGTAACTTCTTTGAAGCTAGTGAAGGAATTGAGTGGTGATAGAAGTGGTTCAGTGAAAAGAAATCTTCTGGATGAATTATCATCCACTCAAAGCTCAAAGAAGAATAAGCGAGTGACTGTGAAGCTGGAAAAAATGACCTAGAGTAGTTTGGTTTCTGAAAAAAACTTTTGGTACTGCAGGGCTATGATACAATATTCAGAACTGTATTTTGCCCTGTTTGACCTCTGAAACATTATTTTTGTTAGGAAATAATAATTTAGTGGCTCTAATTCATGAAGATTATGTCCACGTTGCATGCTGCACTTCCTACACATCTCACCGAATATATTGGATTTCCACAGAACTGCCGTAACTGCCGCATGATGCTCTCCAATTACATGCATTTTTTTCTCTTGTTTTCATTGTATAATAGCTTAGGTTACTTTGTAATCAACGCATCAATTTCAATTCATCCTTCTCTAATTTGTTTTCTTCTTCACGTAGATATATATATATATATATATATATATATATATATATATATATATATATATATATATTCCCACTTTATTAATTATTTTTGTCATTTTATATATTTCCCTATTATTTAATAACTTCTATAATTCTCAATTTTCGATTCTTCGGTTCCGTATTATTCCGCTATATTTCTAACAAGTGGTATCAGAGCGGTTTAATTGAGAGTTATTTTCAAAGATGTCGACTGTTACCAAGTTCAATATCGAGAAGTTAGACGGGAAAATTAGCTTTTCTATCTGGAAGGTTCAGATGGAAGCCGTTCTAACCCAGAACGGTTTGAAGAAAGCGGTAGCTGGGAAGAAGAAGAAACCGGCTACAATGATAGATGAAGAATGGGAAGATTTGGATGACAAGGCACGTTCAACCATTCTTTTGTGCCTGTCTAAAGAGGTTCTACGTGAGGTAGTAAGTGAGACGACTGCGTCAGATTTATGGTCCAAGCTGGATACGCTTTACATGGCCAAAACTCTGGCGAACACGCTACGCCTGAAGGAGCGTCTGTACACAATCCGTATGACGGAAGGTACTTCTATTAAATCTCACTTGGAGGAATTCAATTCTATTTTATTGGACTTGGAAAATACTGATGTCATAATTGAAGATGAGGATCGCGCTGTTTTATTGCTTGTCTCTCTCCCTAAATCATACAAGCATTTCAAAGAAATTATGTTGTATGGTAATAGTAGTGATACCCTTACTTTCGACAATGTTAAGTCAAACCTATTGTCCAAAGAAAAGTTTGATTTTGAAATTAAGTCTGAGGACAAAGGTGAAGGCTTGACCGTAAGGGGTCGTTCACTTGAATTAGGGAGTAGCAATAAAAATTCTAGGTCCAAGTCCAAAGGACGTAAGTCCAACAAATCCTGTAAGTACTGCAAGAAGCAGGGTCACGATGTGACTGAATGCTTCAAGTTGAAAAACAAGCAAGAGAGAGAAAAGTCCGCTGAAGCTAGTGTTGTTGAAAGTGATTCAGAAGGCGATGTTATGTTATCTGTCAGCTCCGGTTGCAAACGGAGCGAAACTGAGTAGATTCTGGACTCTGGTTGTACATTCCACATGTGTCCTCACAAAGACTGGTTCGTCTCTCTGGAACCGGTTGATGGTGGAGTTGTCTTGTTGGGTAATGATACCCAATGCAAGTGATGGAACAAACCCGCAACACCAAAATAACACCAATCTAAGCAAAACAAAAGAGATAGTCTAGACGAGCAACAAAATAAAGACAAGGGGCCGCCAGCGTGAAAGGACATCAAGACTGCGCAGCCTCGCGGACATCGCCATCACCTCCGAGGTCAGCCTGAGTCTCCTCCTGGGGGGCATCCACGCCTGCAAAACGAAGAAGGTCGGCCGCGAAGTCTGCACTCGACGAGCGGTCGGCCGCCGAGTCCAACGGGGGGGGGGGGGGGGGGGTGGCGCTCCACCCTCTCCCACCGCCACATCCATGGGATCACTTGGCTCCTCCGCCAGCTCCTCGGGCAGGCCCCACGCCGCGGGGTCAAAAGATGCATCCCTAGCGCGAAGGATAGAATAGATCTTGCTCTGCATGGAGGACTCCCCCGCCTCGTACATCTCCATCCCCTGCAAACCCAAACACTCATTCCCCTCGGGGAAGCTCGAAAGATAAGTAAAAGTTTCCTGGGGGTGCGCAGAGATATAGGCCTTCGTGTCCTCGACAAAGGCCTGGGAATCCTTGTAACCCGCAATAGCCACCCTCGAGGCCTCCTTCAGGGCCACCTGATGCGCTGCGCACTCCCTCAACCGGCTGGCAATCAACTCATCATGCTGACCCTCCAGCGCCGCTAGTTTTGTGATCACGTCCTGGCGAGCCCGTGTCTCGGTTTCCAGCTGCTCGCGGGTGCTCACTATGACCTTCTCCATGGATGCGGCACGGACAACCGCCTATACAAGGGCAAGCATGAGCAGAAAACAAGATAATAGGGAACAAAAATCAAAAACACATCGTCATCGGAAAAGGATACGTACCTCCACCAAAGGGCGGAAGATGGCATGGTCCTCGTGCAAAGCAGCGTCGCGGGGCAGGAGGAGGCTGCGCGCCAAGGCCTCCGGGGGGACATCCCCGCCAAGTATCGAAGCTGCAGGTGGGAGGTGGATGGACCAATCAGTCAAGGCACCCGGACGCGGCGCTGCGGTCAGCGGAGCTCGGGGAGTGGGGTCGGCCGGACGACCATCCGACAAGTGGTCCTCGTCAGTAGCGGACCTCGCCTCGCGGCGGCGTGGTACCCGGGGACCTGGGGGAACTCGGACGCCCGAGGTAGCATGGCTAGTCTCGCCAGTCTTGCGGCGCTTCGGGTCCTCGCCGCCACGGTTCCGCAAGCTCTCGATAAGGTTCGTGATAGCGGTGCGACGGGGAGCCATACCTACACAAAGACAAGCCAGTGAGCACTTCTAATGAAAACACAGAAATAAGCAGGCACGCAGGCACGTCGACAAGGTGACAAACCAGAGCTGGTAGGAGGAGGCGTCGAATGTCCAGCTAGCAACTCAATAACTTCATCATCCTTTGAATCATCGCTCGCTGACTCCTCCACGGTCTCCCTCGCGGAGTCTGGAGGAGGGGGGGCAGCACCACGAGGAGGCGGCGGAGGGGGGGTCGCGAGAAAAGCCCGCCCTGATCAAGGACTCGTGCTCAACGAGGGCCTGGGAGTCCAACATATCGTCCGTGTCACCCAAGAACTCCAAAACCAGGGCCTCAAGCTCCAGGGTGGACTTAGGGCAGCGGCACTTACGGAAGTACCCTCCCCAAGGCACCTCAAAAGGGAGCGCCTCGCCCGTAGAGACAAACACGAAGCGGGGCTTCCAACCTTTGTTGAAGTCTCGTACGTGTCCCATAATCCGCGTCCCCAGCCGAGCCGAAAACGCCATGTAGCCCTTACTCTCCTTAGATGATGAATTGGTCGTGGTGAAAAAAAAGTGGAATAGGGCTAGGTTTGGGCGGATATTCACCTCAACACATCGAACAATAAAGGCCGCCACCGCCCAGTGGGAGTTGGGGACTAGCTGACCCATCGACACGCAATGAAAGTTCAGGAGCTCAGTCATGAAGGGGTGAAGCAGGAAAGCCAAGCCCATGAGGAGGGAAGTAACATGGACCCCAAAAAAATTGGGCCCGGGAGGCTCTAGGATACTCGTCCCGGGAGGCGGGACATGGACCACGGCTGACGGGCCGACCAAGGCCTTCGCCACGGCGATCTCATGAGGACTCAAGGAGGACCTAAGCCCCCGAGGGATAGCGGAGTCAAGGACAGTGTATTGATTCAAGGGGAATGGATTTGGGAGAGGCGTAGGAGTCAACATGAAGGGGGGATGCGTGGCTAACGGATCTATATACGGGTACTCAATGTAATAGTGCTCAATGTAGGGGGAAGGAAACCGGTCTAAGTCAATGGACTCGTCATCGCTAGGCGGGAGGTCCGCGTAGTCAATGGAATCTAGGACGGTCCGATAACAAAGAACCACGGGTAGGTCTACCGGATGCGTGTCCTCGACAAGAGGCACTATGCTCATATAAAGCTAGCTATGGAACTCTAAAAGAGGGTTTGCACGAAACTCACCCGACTCAAGCAAGGAGGGGACAAACGAAGTGGGCGGAAGGAGGACGCAGCACGGTCGGCGGTCGGCGGGGTGGGGGTCGGCCGGGGGCTGCTTGGCCTCGGCAGGGGGGGTCGGCCTCGGCAGGGGGGGGAGGGGTCGGCCTCGGCGGGGGTCGGGGTCGGCTGGACGGCGGCGGCTGGCGGCGGCGGTCGGCGGCGGGGAGGTGGCCGGAAAATTGGGAGGAGAGGGGGAGAGTTTTTGAGTTTGGTGGAAGCTTTGTGTGGGTGAGGAATGAAGGGAGGGCTACCTTATATAAGGGAGGAAGGGGGAAAAAAAGGGGGGAAAAAGAGAAGACATTTTTTGGGAAAAGGGGGGGAAATTTTGGGGAGAGGGAAAAGTGTGTGTTGGGAATGTGAGGAGGTTTTGGGGAGATGGAGAGGGTATTTAAAGGGGAAGTGGAAGGGTTGTATTAGGATGAGAACTCTTAACTGATAAGGATTTACACAGGCCTGAATTCCAGTCCGGTTGGGAGTCCTATCGTGCTAAGAATTCTACGAGAGGAAGGGGCGAATTTTTGGGAATATAATTCAGGGCCCCGTAATTATTAAATTCATTCTTACTCTCTCGCGCTGACGACTCCTCGCAGCCTCGAGAGTGGGGGACTGATGATGGAATAATCACGGAGCCGGAGCGGAGCAATGCAATACAAACCGGGTTGGACCCGTGCCCACCCGCGGAGCAGGACGAACCACCCCGGGGTCGGCCAACCACCCCGGGTCGGCCCAGTGGGGGTCGGCGTAGGCCGACCTCCCCGAGCTCGGCCGAGCCCATGCTCGGCCCATTGGCCGAGCTCCGTGCTCGGCCAATGGCCGAGTCCTCGCGTGGAGCGAGTCTCGCGGCGCGGGCCGCGGGCCCAGGGCCCGAGCCACCCGGGGGGTATATAAACACCCCCCGGTGTCCTAACAAGGCATCTCATACTTCCTGACAACATTTGTACTGTTATTACATGTCCCGAACCTCTGTAATAGCATTTTGTGTCCAATTAATACAATATTTACCGTTTTATTATTTGTCCATCATATTCAACATACATTTGGGTTGCATAATCTGGACCCCCGGGTTCATATAATCCATCAGCAAGGTTAGTGGAATTGGAAGTATGCAGATTAAAACTCATGATAACGTTGTCAGGACTCTTACCAATGTTCGGTATATTCCTGATTTGAAACGCAATATGATATCATTGGGTACCTTAGAATCTCTGGGGTGCAAGTACATAGCTGAAGGTGGAGTTCTGAAAGTCATAAAAGGCTCTCTTGTTCTCATGAAAGCTTCTCGTTCTGGAAGCTTGTACGTCTTGCATGGTAGTACTGTGACAGGTTCAGTAGTGGTATCCTCATCGGTGTCTGATGCGGATCTTACTCAGTTATGGCATATGCGTCTGGGGCATATGAGTGAGAAAGGCATGCATCTCCTGAGCAAGAAAGGCCTCCTTAGTGGTTCAGGTACGGGTAAATTACAGTTTTGTGAGCATTGTGTTTTTGGGAAACAAAAGAGGGTTAGTTTCTCTACTGCTACACACCGTACCAAAGATGTATTAGAATACATACATTCTGATTTATGGGGACCAACTAAATTCCAGTCTATGGGAGGCTGTAGATATTTTATGTCTATTATTGATGACTTTTCTCATAAAGTCTAGGTCTATTTCCTGAAACATAAAAATCAGGCATTTTCTATTTTCAAGAAGTGGAAAATACTTGTTGAGACTCAGACAGGTAAAAAAGTCAAGAAGCTCAGGACAGACAATGGCTTGGAGTTCTGTGAGTCAGATTTCAATGACTTTTGTGCGGCAAATGGAATCGTCAGGCACAAGACCTTGCCTGGTAAACCCCAGCAGAATGGTGTTGCCGAACGTTTGAATAGGACTCTATTGGAGAGAGCTCGTTGTATGCTCTCTAATGCTGGGTTACGGAAATAGCGTGATTTTTGGGCCGAGGCCGTTTCTACTACTTGCTATTTGGTAAATAGATCTCCAGATTCATCCCTTGATTTCAAAATTCCAGAAGAAGTTTGGTCAGGTAATCCTGTTGACTACTCTGTCTTAAGAGTTTTTGGATGTCCTGCTTATGCTCATTCCACTACGGGTAAATTAAACCCGAGAGCTGTCAAATGCATTTTCCTTGGCTATGCCTCTGAGTCAAAAGGGTATCGTCTATGGTCTCCTGATTCTCAGAAAATCATTCTGTTGAGGACAACGATGATCCATTACGAGTCCTAGTAGATGGTCCAATGACAAGGGCAAAGGCTAAACAATTACAAGATGTCGTTGGAGGGCTGCCTAGCGCTCAATGGGATATGGATCAATTTGATGAAGACAAGGAGCGGCCGGTTAATCTAATTGGGGTTCAGTTCGAGGGAAATTAATTTAATTGGGCTATGCTGATTACATGGATAGTAAATAAATTTATTGGACTATCCATTAGTATTCAAATAATGAGTAGCATATTATTTCTTTTATAATAAGTAGTCTAGTTATTTGTTTTTAGTTAGACTTTAGTGCTATGTTTGAATTCAAACTATCCATGTCCTAGTCTTTAGGCAAGAGGCATGCTAGGGAGCTATATATAACACTCCTAATCTCATTGTAAAGGACACACATCAGATTTTGAGAAATAGCAAACAAGAGCACTACTTGTGCCTTGCCTTGTTCTTGAGTTCTTCAAGACTTCCCGACTTATCAAGGACTGTTTTCTTCCTTGTGGCGTCTCTTTCTTCGTATCACCTTCAAACCAGGTGTGGGCGAATCCCAATCTTAGAAAACACCATAACCCTTCCCGCAACACAACCCAAATCCGTCTAACAGAACCACATCACAAACCAACCGAGACAATGCCAGCTCCGTTCTACTAGAGACGTGAAAAAGCCCGAGGACCAAACGAGAACGCAAGGTTTCCAAACTTCGTCTCCAGCCCGAGGATCACATCACATTCTGAGTCGAGATATCACTTTTGATGAAAATGCACTACTTTCTTCTGGAAAAGTTCCAAGTACAGATGAGACGCAAAATACTGTTGAGAAGGTGGAGTTTGAGTTCAGGCCTATTGACAGTATTACTACCACTCATGGTAATACTAAAGATAATGCGTCTACTAGCACCGCACCTCTCGTCGAGCCACAACGAGAGTATTCCAATGCTATGGATTGTCCTAGGAGGACAATTAAAAAACCTGCTAGGTATGCTAGTGATGATGAAACCAATATGGTTGCTTATGTTCTTTCAGTCGCATAGGAAGTTGATGGCCGGTGATCCATCCTGCTGTTCTAAGGTTCTTCTTATTGCTAAGTTCAAGCAGTGCTTGAGTTTAGTCGGCTGTTTCAATTGTTAATTCTATAATGAATTTGATCCAAGATGGAGATTGTTAGGAAATAATAATTTAGTGGCTCTAATTCATGAAGATTATGTCCACGTTGCCTGCTGCACTTCCTACACATCTCACCGAATATATTGGATTTCCACAGAACTGCCGCAACTGCTGCATGATGCTCTCCTATTCCATGCGTTTTTTTCTCTTGTTTTCATTGTATAAATAGCTTAGGTTACTTTGTAATCAACGCATCAATTTCAATTCATCCTTCTCTAATTTGTTTTCTTCTTCACGTAGATATATATATATATATATATATATATATATATATATATATATATATATATATTTATATATTCCCACTTTATTAATTATTTTTGTCATTTTATATATTTTTCCTATTATTTAACTTCTATAATTCTCAATTTTCGATTCTTCGCTTCCGTATTATTCCGCTATATTCCTAACAATTTTGGACTGTGATTTTTGGCCCAAGTGGCAATGATGTTTAAGTTTGAGCTATTGGTTTATATGTGACAGATTTATGTTATCTATCTTGCAGTTTTCTTAACTTATTTTCAGGTGCAGATTCAAGATTGATGGTGATGCAAAGGAATAAAGAAAGATTCAAGGAACATGTTGGAAAGACAAAATGTTGACAGATAGGACATAGACTACTATGTATAGGCAATGTGTAACTTAGGCCACTACATTTTGCTATTGACAATCTAGACAAATAAATTAGTCAATAATAATTATATCATATGTACCTTTTTGTATATTTAACAACATTTTCACATTTAACAGTGAAATGCATCCAGTTTTTGACACATTCCACTTCACTTAATATAAAAGAATGAGCTGAATCCTGCAAAATTGGAAGACAAATGAAGGCAAACTGAGATTAGTAATATTAGTACTCTAAACCCTGTAAAATGAACATCTTTAACAACATAACATGCTACTGTTGATATATGGTGTTAACTAACAAACTCAGTGATATTAATTAATGAAAATCTTGGGCTGTGTCTTATGTATGGGCATAATATTAACATCAATCATGAAATAACAATTAAAGAATAATATTAGTAGTATCAAATAAGTGTTTGAAGATATTAGTAGATCATCAAATTCCTTATTAAAATAAATTAACATTTCATCACAAGGAAATGACACCAATTTTCGGCTGTGAAATAACTTTATCCTATTTGTTAAAGGTGGATTTACAGAATTCAAGTATTACTTCTAATTGACATTTAACAGTCTAAGTGATATGAACCTACTAAGGTAGACAAAAAATGGCGTTTTGTCTCCATCTATTTTGGTAAATGAAAACACACAAAAGAGAGATATGCTAAATTGTTAGTGTTCATACATAATTAGTTAAAACAACTGATTCATTATGTCAAAAGAAGTTAAGACTAAATTGTTAGTGTTCATACATAATTAGTGAATTGAACTGATTTAATATGTCAAAAAAAGTTATTAGTAATACAACATACTGTTAAAATGCTATGATGACATGTGTGTTTATCAAAGTAATCATTACTCTGCAAGAAAATTTTTCATTTCCACGGACAGAAACAAAGATCACAATTATGAAAATGAAACAAAATTTGAAAAAATGGCTGAGCAATTACTTAAATATATTCTAACTGCTAAATCATGGAACAAACACTAACTAACATATCAAAACTATCCCTGCTCAGAAATTTTCTGTCTTTGGAGGAATATGAGGAAAATTACAGAGTCTACCATTATAGGCAACAAAAGAAAACAAACTGTAGAAAATAAAGGTAAAATTGCAAACTAATCTCTTAGTTTCCATAGCATCTTCTGTATTCTCCCCAAAGCTTCCTTATTAGTCACCTACTGATTTGCTTTTCATGTCACCAAGTTCATCCTCGCACACAATATATATATATATATATATATATATATATATATATATATATATATATATATATATATATATAATATAAAGGATTAGTATTTATGCTAAAAAATAAGAGTAAAATTACAGTATTCTACGAACAAAAAATCATTTTTTAAAACAAAGATGGCCTGACATTTTAATAAGTAGGATAGAATTTTGTGGGGTAATGATAAATATTCATTAAATATGTAAAAAAAAAAAATTAGTAGCTTAGAGGAGAGATTCTGCCAATCGAAAATTATTGAACATAGTTTCAATTCAATAATTAAATTACATATTTTAACAAACAACAAATTAGAATAATTACATAGTTTTAATATAATAGTGAAGAAATTGTTCATAAAAACGGGTTCGGACTTAGATCTACCAGAATAAAAGCACAAACACAAGATTTGAGCGAATTCATGTAAATCAAAGAATAAGATACTAAATAATCCAAAAAAAAACATCTAAAACATGGATATGATGAACACTGATCTTAGACTTAAACCCTAAACGTAATCTGCGAAATCTAGCGAAGGAACTTCATACCTTTCTTTGGATGATCTAAAAAGTAGCTTAGGTTGAGAAATTGCTTCAGATTAGGTTGTGAGGACAGGTAGTAATCGATCTAAGTGTAGACGGTAATAGAGAGAGAAGAGAGAGCATCGTCGTTCTCTTCGGACAACGGCGAGGTATGAAGTTGGCTCGTAAGAGGGCTGAAGCGGCTTCTAGAGCCTTCAACCCCTCTTTTATTTTTTTTTATTATATATATATATATATATATATATATATATATATATACACACACACACACACACACACACACACATATATATATATATATATATATATATATATATATATATATATGGATTAGCGCTCAAATGCGGCAGTGGCTTTAGGTGCGGCGGTGCGGCTATATCAGCATCGTCCATTTTGCTTAATCTAACGGAAGCGGCTAATTTATGAAGATTTAAAGATTTAAGCGCGTCCTGATAAGTGGGGGGGGGGGGTTGTTATGGTAATTGTAGTGGTCATTTATATCAGTCACTTGTCAGAATACACCAACAGTGTTAACAAAATACACCAATAGTGTTAGGAAAAAGCACCACAATGAAATGCACAAATACACCAAAAAACACACAACACACCCAAAAAATACACCATATAACTCACCACCCCAATGGTGTATTTCTGAACACTGTGTGATGCTTTTATTCATACCTAATGGTGCGTTCTGGTGATGCGCATCTAATTTGTGCATGTCTTTTTTGGTGTGCATTTTCTAACATGGATGCTGTATATTTGTATAACTATTAGTGCACCCGCACTAACCGCAGGAGAAGGCGCGGGCGCACCTGAACTTGGCACCAACACGAATCCTCAAATACACCACGGTAAGGTTAATAATGCACCAATAACGAACATAAAACACACAACACTATGATTTGATATATTCAGGTGCCCAATGACGACTTTAACCTTGCAGTTCGCGTAATGTGAGAACGTGCGCGAAAATATCGGAAAAGCCTGGATGAATGTGATTCGTTGGATTTATCTAATCTAATGGCCTACAATTAATCACACCGCCGCACCTAAGTACACTGCCTCACTTGAACCTTCCTCTATATATATGTAGATGTAGATAAGTAGCGTAATGTGTACATATATATATACATATATACATACATACATATATATATATATATATATATATATATATATATATATATATATATATATATATATATGTTGTTTATTTTATTTTATAAAATGATTAATTACACTTATATATATATATATGAATGGTATTAATGAAGCATCGTCAAACACATATTTGAGTTGTGATTCAGTGTGCGAGACTGATACAAATGTTGATATGCAATATGAGGTTCACAAAATCGAATTTCTAAACAGTTTGAGATGTTCAGATGTTCCGAATCATTATTTAATACTAAAGGTTGGATCTCCAATTATGCTGCTGAGAAATATAGAGCACTCTTTGGGTCTTTGTGATGGGACCCGTTTGATTGTTACAAAGTTGGGAAACCATGTTATCGAGGTGCAGGTTCTATGTGGAAACAACGCAAGTACTAATGTCTTAATACCACGGTTTGCCTTGACTCCTTCAGATCCAAGACTTCCTTTTAAATTTTAAAGAAAACAATTTCCAGTTATGCTATCATACGCCATGACAACCAACAAAAGTCAAAAGAAGTCAAGGACAGACACTATCACATGTTGGTATAAAGGTCTTAATTCCAATAATGTCCTTAGCACCTTCTGATCCAAAATTGTCGTTTAAGTTCCAAAGAAAGCAATTTTCGCTAATGTTGTCATATGCCATGACAATAAATAAAAGTCAGGGTCAAACACTATCCAACGTAGGTTTGTTTTTGAAGAGACCGATTTTTAATCATGGTCAAATGTATGTAGCAGTGCCAAGAGTTAATAATCCTAAGAGACTAAAAATTCTTATTTGTGATTAAAATGTAAAATCTCAAAATACGACTACAAATGTCGTATATAAAGAAATATTCGATAATGTCTAATAAATTTCAAATAGTTGTCTACCCAATTGTTTTTTTTAATCTTATACTATATATTATAATATGTATACATATTGTCGTGCACCGCACGAGTGCAACTACTAGTAATAATAATAATAGTATTATGGAATAAATTACAATTATCACAATAATAATAGTGTGCACAAGTTTTAAACTTTAGACCTCAAAGTTGAAATACAATAAACACATGTTCCTAACATTTCTTCATGGAGCCTTTTAATTTTAATTGAAAACTTTTAATTTTTATTTCTAGACTAACTAGGTAAAAATGAAATATTGGGCTTCTAAAATTTGAGGCCCCTCTAAAATTCGGGGCCCTGTGCGATAGCCCAGCTTGCACAGCCCAAAATCCAGGCCTGATTACGCCAATGAGATTATACTTACTATTGTTGGTATTGCGAGACTTTAAAACGGTTATACTTATGATAGGAAAAATCTTAAATGCTTCAACCAATTTAGAAAATAGCAAAATTACTTAAATGGGGGCACATAATCTATTCATAAATACAAAAATCTAAGTAGTTGTTCAATACTAGATCAGAGGTGTTATCAATTCAAGCAATTAAGCATGCGTGTAGGTGGAAGAATAAAAGTTGGTCGTCATTTGAAGTTAATGATGATGAGTGAAAGGGAGAGAAAACAGGCTATTGAAAGGAAAAATGCGGCATTGTTGAAGCAAGCGAAAGAGTTTTTTTGTGCTCATAAAGTTGTATATCATATTAAAAATTTTGCACTTTATTTGTTCAGAATAAAAATGTCGTTACACCGTTAAATATATGTTAATTAAATATTAAATAGTAAATCAATTTAGAAAAATAGTAAATCAATTTAGAAAATAACAGATGATAGGGAAAATCTGATCGAATTATTTTGATAAATTTAGAAAATAATATAATTACTTTAATGGGAGAAAATAATCTATTTATCTATTTATAAATACAGTACAAAAAGCAGTCTAAGACGTGAAATCAGATGTGTTATCAATTCAAGCAACCATGCATGTAGGTGGAAAAATAAAAGTTAGTCGTCATTTTAAATTACTGGGGCTAGTTTACTACTTTATTGGGATTGAAAATACTTGAAAATTCCTTCGTTTATAATACGGATTGATATGATGATGATATGAGATGGAATGATATGATGATGATATGATTTGACATGAATATGATATGATTTGACATGGATATGATATGATATGGTTATGCCGATGAGATTACACTTACTATGATATTATGCTGTTATATTTATAATAGGAAAAATATTAAATGTTTCGACCAAATTAGAAAATAAAAAAATTACTTAAACCGGGCACCATAATCTATATATAAATATGAAAGGCAGTTTGGTCTGCAGATCAGAGGTGTTATCAAGCATTGAAGCAATTAAGCATGCGTGTAGGTGGAGGAATAAAAGTTGGTCGTCATTTGAAGTTAATGATGATGAGTGAAAAGGAGAAAAAATGGGTGATTGCAATGAGGAAGACACCGTTGAATGTTTAGTCCCAATGAGGCAGGGAGTTCCTATTTAATAATAAAAATATATTAAATAAAACATAACTATATTTACATGTGTATGTGTAATTTTTACATAGCCACAATTATACATATTATATTATCGTGCATGTGTAGTGCGATACATGTACTTAAATGTTATTATTATTATTATTATTATTATTATTATTATTATTATTATTATTATTATTTATTTGTAGAGTTAATCATAGAAAAGGTCCAGATTTCTGTATTCTGTATTTGCATAAATAGTGATAAGCCCTAAACCAAAATAGTTCACATTTCTGTATTCTTTATAAATAAACCTAGAAACAAGGTTCATCACCTCAAGCAGGCCCGGTCTTATGCTTTTTTTTTTGTTGTTGAAAAAAGCGTGTGTATTTAACATCATCAAAACTTAATCGCTCACAAAATGACTCTATTACAAGATAGTATTTGTTCTATACTTTCTCTATCTGTTGTAGCTCAAAGAGTCAATATTCTACCGCCGGGTTGTTCGATCTTGTGATCTTTCCCCAAGGAGAGTTACATGTGTTATCTGAGCACAAGGTGCTTAGCACATTAAGCTGATTTAAATTATTCAAAAGAAATAGCTATAGTACTACGAGGGTTAGTAATGACGGACGAGTAGGTGATGAATACTTGAGGGCAGGCCCGACCCTGGGCAAGGGAAGGCCCGGCCCTGGGCAAGGGCAGGCCCGACCCTGAGAGGGACTTGAAAACTGTGATTTGCCTTGCAGACTGTATCTCACTAGTTTGCATAATTGGAATTTGTTCTTTCTCAATATCACTTGAATCTGTGAGGGGTTTTGGCTTAGGCACCTTGCAAACTTGTTCCAAAGAATCATTTGCGAGAGAACCCATTCCCTGTCCTACATCTGACTGTACTAAGATCGAATCAACAATTCTGTTTGTGGAGATACACTACCAAGAACATCTGCCTCAGAAGATGGTGTAGTTTAATGCAGTTCTGTCAGATATATATATATATATATATATATATATATATATATATATATATATATATATATATATATATATATATATATACTCTTCTTCATCTTTATTTTTTTTTTGGAGGAGACCGGTCATCGCCCGCGGCATGGCTGGTTTGGCCCGCCGCAACGACGCCGGTCGGTAGCAACTGGCCAGCCGTAATGATGTCGGTCGGTAGCTGCGACCGACCAGGCTTTGTTTCATTCAAAATCTCTTGGTGTGCGATATTCTTGGATTTATATGGAGAATGGGTTGGTGGACAGCGGAGATCGAGTGGTCTGTCCTTTCTACCCTTAGTCTCCATCTGAAGGTCGGGGGTTTCACCACAACTTTCTACCAGGCAATCTAGAGAGCCTTTTCTATTACGCTCCTCACCTTATGATTCCTGCGCGTGGATGCCATTTGAGCGGCTTTCGTTCGCCATTGAGGGTTGAACGTTATTTTCCATCGCGGCCGTTCAACTGTTGGATTGTCTTGTCCCAGTCGTCCGGTGGGGGGTCGTTGGCCTGAATGTCTTAGGCAGTGAAGGATTGAGACCGTGCAGCGATGATCTCTGGGTGAGTCCAATTCCTGCGTTTTCTCGGGTGGTCGGTCCCTGTTGTATGCTCTGTCCGAATG